ATGTCACTGTGACCCGACACCAAACCTAGACAAAGTACCACACCACGGTAAGAACCTGTCAACTATTTATTATGTCTGGTTTCGGTCACACCTTTAGCTAGTTCAGTAAAAATAGACATATTTTTTCAGACATTTGTGTGGTCTAGTTTCACTCCATCAGATGGTCCTTTTTGTTTCTCCTTTCCTTGGTACTTTGTTTAAATAGATATTTCCTTAATTCTAAGCTTAACCTACTCGTGCAGTATACCACCCAGTACGTGACAGAGACCCAGGCCGTGCCCCACTATGTGACGCAGACGCAGGCAGTGCCCCGCTACGTGACAGAGACAGTGCCACACTACGTCACCACAACCGTCTAGCAGCAGGAGTACGTCACTGTCGACCAGTACTGCAAGCCCTCCGGAGGTAGAGTGTCTTTTTAGTATCACTTTCTCACTGTCGTATTTGTGATTTTGTAGACATTCAGTTGCAGCATAATGCAATTCTTCAAGAATATGAAGAGCGTTTGAATTGGTCTGACGGAGGTATTAATAATCTGCCTTGTACTTTGCTGGTTATGGCTACGGCGATTGAAAGGTAGAGCAATATCATTTAGAAAAAAGGCGTGATTCTAATAAACTTTCTGATCTGTCAATACCTTTTACTAAAGCCTTTTATATGCTAGAATTTCATTATTAACGAGGGAAATCATATCATGCCCTGTCATTAACCAATAGAAATCAATTGATGCTCAAATGGGTTTCTGGCAGTATTGTGATGTGTATTCCTTGATGATACGTTCTTCTGGATACAAAATCGAGGCCTGATGATAAAAGCTTACTCTTTATATATTGTATATCCAGGCCATACTTACATACTACGTTTCTCGATTAGTCTATCTCTGCCCTTCCCTTTTACATTCACATGAGGTATACCATGATATACGCAAACATACTTATACTGGCTAATAAAAAGTGAAAGTTGCTTGAACTTCGTTAATATTCAGACAGCACGTCAGCCTGCTTCCCTGCGATGTGTAGATTTTCTATGTAATGATGTAATTCTGAATATGTGTAACAAAAGAGTATTATTTTACATGTCCTTTTAAAACTGTGTCAGAAGTGGGATTCGAACCCACGCCCGGAAGACCGGACTGCGACCTGAACGCAGCGCCTTGGACCGCTCGGCCATCCTGACAGATGAGTAACTAGTATTGCAAAGAAGATGTAAAAGAAAATAATATAGTTACAGTAATGAGGAAAACAATTATTATAGATCTATTAGAATGCTTATCATTCTCATAGTTAAGTATATACTGAAAATGATAAAAGCATAATATTAATGATGGCAACGGTAATAATAGACGTTATAAGATATTATATGATATCTAACGGAAATTAACCAGCGTTCCCTACATTGCTAGTATAGATAATGCTAAACCATATTAACAGTGATGATAATAATGATCATAATGTTAGTAATATCAAATCAATCATTATCATAGATATCAACACTATCCATTTTCCTTTTCAGATCATCAGATTTGGATAGAGTTCAAAGTCGATTCCTATAAGGCAGGACTGGGCCCCAAGGTAGGTCCGAGGCCTATGGCAGATCGAAGGCAGGTATTTAGGAGGGTTGAGTCCTGAGAGAGAATCGGGTCTTAACTTATTAAAATTCAAACTTTATTGATGAGTTGCATTTTAATATTTTGAGGAGATACTGAAGTAAAGAGAAAGACGAGAGTAATTACCAAGTAGCAATATATTAAGTAATGAAAATTAACAAAATTTAAAAGTCGTAAATACCTTATAAAAATCTATGTATATATACATATATACAAATATACATATGCACACGTATATATATATATATATGTGTGTGTGTGTGTGTGTGTGTGTGTGTGTGTGTGTACATACACACGTATATGTGTGTGTGTGTGTATATAAATATATATATATATATGTGTGTGTGTGTGTGTGTGTGTGTGTGTGTGTGTGTGTATGTGTGTGTGTGTGAATATATAGAATATATACACTAATGACAGACCCAGACGAACTCCTTTTGAATTCCCACCGAGAATACAAATTTCTTTAAATGCGTGAATGAAAATCAATCGCTTTTGAACGCAAACCCTTTCATAATCTATGAAGTCTTTGATCGCTAAGTGGACGGCGATTTTGATTTTGCCAGGAAATGGTGAGACGGAAGCTCCCTTCTTAAAGTACAAATTAA